TCCTCCTTCTCCTTCTCCTTCTCCTTCTCCATCTCCTTCTCCTTCTCCTTCTCCTTCTCCTTCTCCTTCTCCTTCTCCTTCTCCTTCTCCTTCTCCTTCTCCTTCTCCTTCTCCTTCTCCTTCTCCTTCTTCTTCTTCTTCTTATTTTTTATTGATTTCAGAGAGGAAAGGAGAGAGAGAGAAACATCAACGATGAGAGAGAATCATGGATCGGCTGCCTCCTGCACTCCACACACTGGGGATCGAGCCTGCAGCCCAGGTATGTGCCCTGACCGTGACCTCTTGGTTCCTAGGTCGATGCTCAGCCACTGAGCTATGTAGGCCGGGCAAGGTGGCGTAGCTCTCGCCTGAAGGCTGGCAGCTCAAGACCCGGAAAGAACCAATGTTTCCATTGGAATCTGAAGGAAGAAAGCTGATGTCCTGGCGCTACGGCGGCCGGGAAGGATTCTTTCTCACTCAGAGTAGGGTCAGCTGTTTGGCTCCATTCAGGCCTTCAGCGGATGGGATGAGGTCCGCCCACCTTAGGGAGTGCCATCTGCTTTGCTCATCTGCCGACTTAAATGTTAATCGGACGGACCCAGAAACACACAGAGTAAGGTTCTGGTCACCCCGTGGCCCAGTCAAGTTGGCACACACAATGAAATGAGCCATTATAATTCCTGACACTGGAACGTTCGTCACTGTTAATATCACTTGGGATTGCATAGTCTTGGGCTGTGACATGAGAGGGAGATAAACTTCTGTGTTGTTTACACCCGTTACATTAGCCTTTGCCAAAGCAGTTGGATTGCTATGGCCACCTTATATTTTTCAAAGATGTCTCCTGTCTCCACTCACTACCCCCATTAAGAGGTGGAGTCTCGCCCTAATCGGTTTGGCTCAGTGGATAGAGCATCGACCTGTGGACTGAAGGGTCCCGGGTTCAATTCTGGTCAAGGGCATGTGCCTTGGTTGTGGGCACATCTCCAGTAGGGGGTGTGCAGGAGGCAGCTGATGGATGTTTCTCTCTCATGGATGTTTCTAACTCTCTATCCCTCTCCCTTCCTCTCCATAAAAAAATCAATAAAATATATATTTTTTTAAAAAAGAGGTGGAGTCTCCTCCCCCTTCCCTTGAAATTGAATGGGCTCATGACTCACTTGTAGCCATTGGAACACAGCAGAAGTGACGCTGGAGGACTTGAGGTTGGGTCAGGAAAGGCATGTAATTCCTTGTGAGCTGAAATCCTCTGGAACTTCAGCCATCATGCAAGCAGTTCTGCTTCCTTGAGGCCACCAGGCGGTGAGGAAGCCCAGTGTATCCCACACAAAGAAACCATGCGGAAAGCCGCGAGGCTCCCTGAAAATGGGTGTTTGATCAGATCTTGATCAAATCCAGGCTAAGCCTTTCCCAGTGTCACCAACCATAGGCCAATGGGAGATAATAAAATGACTGTTGTTTTAAATCACTGAGCTTTGGCCTTATTACTGACATGGCAATAGCTAGCCAGAAAAACCGGTATAATTTTTACAGCGTGAGAGATCGATTCAGCTTTAAGATGTCTAAGCAGAACTGGAACCCCCAAATCCTACCCGTTGTACAACTTTGGACTTGCCTCTGACCTCTGGCCTCTGACCTCCTCATCTGTACATAGGCTAATTTATCCTGGGTGTATTTGTTATCTATTGCTGTGTAACAAATCGCCCCCAAACATAGTAGCTTAAAACAACAATACATGTTTATTATCTCACACCATCTCGGAGAGTCAGAAATCCATGAGTGCCTTAGCTGGGTGGTTCTGGCTTAGGAGCTCATGAGATTGCATCAGGGTGCTGGTGTGGACAGGTGTCATCCGAAGGCTGGACTGGGGCAGTAGCATGTGCTTCCAAAGTGGCTCACTCACATGGCTGGGGACTTGCTTCTGAGACACGTGTTTCTCTAGACCAGTGGTTCTCAACCTTCCTCATGCCGCGACCCTTTAATCCAGTTCCTCATGTTGTGGTGACCCCCAATTTCATTGTGACAAATTGAACATCATGAAAGCATAGTGATTCATCACAAAAACAATATGTCATTATGTATGTGTTTTCCAATGGTCTGAGGCGACCCCTGTGAAAGGGTCGTTCGCCCCCCAAAGGGGTCGCGACCCACAGGTTGAGAACCGCTGCCCTAGAAGATGACGGCTAACGTGTCTTCACGATATGGCCTCTGTTTCCTCTCAGGCTAGTGATTTACGGTAAGAGAGAGCAAGGCAGAGCTGCAGTGACTTGTTATCTAATCTTGCAAGTTATACTCTGTCATTTCCACAGTGCCCTGTTAGTCACACTGGCCAGTCTTATTCAGCGTGGAAGGAGTATGAAAACTTGGAGTTGAGACTCACTGGGGCCCATGTTGGAGATGGACTACACAGGTTCAATATAGCATCTTTCGTATTGTAAACAATTTTGACTTCGGAATTATCTAAAAAGTCTTCTCCCCTCTATTCACCAGCTGTACTGTTTAGAGGTCTGTGGCTGCAATGAAACCCTTTCTTCCCTTTTCTGTTACTGAGGTAGAGGGAGAACTAATTTACTGAGTTCAAATAATCTATTATAATAAAAGGGTAATATGCTAATTAGACCGGATGTCATTCCGGATGTCCTTCCTGATGAAGCCAGGCCAGAGGGAAGCCAGCCCAGGTCCCGGGTGCCAGAGGGAAGCCGGTGCCAGCAGCCGGGAGAAGGAAGGCCTACTCTTGCACGAATTTTCGTGCACCGGGCCTCCAGTAGTCACAGAAAAATGCAGCTTCAAAGTTAATAGGAAACATCATTTCTCCCAAGGACATGTTTTCTTACAGAGAAACTGTTCTCTAAAATCATGAAGGGCCAGCCAGTGTGGCTTGGTGGTTGAGCATCAACCCAGGAACCAAGAGGTCAGGGGCTCAATTCCTGGGCTTGACCCCCCAGTAGGGGCATGCAGGAGGCAGCCGATCAATGATGTTCCTTTCTCACTGATGTTTCCTTTATCCCTCTCCCTTCCTCTCCCTCTAAAAATCAATAAAAACATAAAAATAAAATAAAATAATGAAGTGTTGGAAATCCATCAGTAAACATGAAACAGCCCATTCTCACCTGTCGGATCTAAGCCATTTGACACAAAGTAGCAGCCTTGATTTTTCAACGGAGGTGCAGAGCTGCCAAGGGATTCTGGACCCAGCAATACACTTCTCCATTCATCTTGTCGTTTCCAAGGGTACGGGACCCTGGAGGGATGCAGGACCCACCTGGTCCTCCACAGTCCACGCCTGATGTTGAGCCTGCTTTGCTCTGAGCCCACCATCTAGCTGTCACCTAAATCCCACCCTTCCTCCAGACTCTACCACCCTACCTTCTCCTCGTGTGTCAAGGTGCTCCGTGGCTGCTGTTGTACGGGCTCCGTTGTTGCAATGAGTCCAATAAACTTGACTTTATCAGACTATGTTCCTGGTGACTTTAGGCTGATGGAAGCGGAACACCGATAATCTTCTATTGCCGTGGCTCCCAGCCACCTTTGGGACATAGATCCCTTCTCTTTTTCGCCCAAACCCTTCATCATCTGACCCCAGCCTTTTTTCCAAATCCGAGTTCTCTCTCCTTATTATCATTTATTTGCAAAAGAGATGTAATAACTTCCATATAGTAAAGTGCACGTTTTATGTGTACGGTTCAGTGAATGTTTATTTTATTTATTTATTTTTTAAATATATTTTTATTGATTTCAGAGAGGAAGGGAGAGGGAGAGAGAGTAGAAACATCAATGATGAGAATCATTGACTGGCTGCCTCATGCACGCCCCCTACTGGGGACCAGGCCTGCAGCTTGGACATGTGCCCTTGTCTGGAATGGGACCCAGATCGCTGTACCCACTGAGCAAAACCAGCCAGGGTGTGAATTCTTAAATATGTGTATAGCGAGCAATCACCACCCAGACCCACATATGGCACATTTAGGGCACCCCGGGAGCCTCTTGGGGCCCCGCCCTGCCTGTACCCATCCAATCTCTCACTGGAGATCAGTTTTGCCGCTTTCAAAGTTAAAATTTCTTTTTTTAAAAAAAAATATTTTTATTGATTTCAGAGAGAAAGGGAGAGGGAGAGAGAGAGAAACATCAATGATAAGAGAGAATCATTGATCGGCTGCCTCCTGCACGCCCCCTACTGGGGATTGAGCCTGCAACCCGGGCATGTGCCCTTGACTGGAATCGAACCCTAGACCCTTCAGTCCGCAGGCCGACGCTCTATCCACTGAACCAACCCGGCCAGGGCAAAGTTAAGATTTCTTTTATTTTCACATAAACATTCACTGGCTTTCCTTACCCCAGGCGTCCTGCCTCAATGAATGGTATTTCTGGCCTCTGCTGTTCCTCTCTGTTGTGCGCTGGATGTTTCTTCTGCTCTGGAAGGTTCAAGCCACGCTCCAACCTTCTGAAAATATTGCAATGACGAACGAACGAATGAATGAATGGATGGATGAATGAATGAATGGATGGATGGATGGATGGATGGATGGATGGATGGATGAACGAATGGATGGATGGATGGATGGGTGGATGGACAGATGAATGAATGAATGGATGGATGAACGAATGAATGAATGGATGGATGGATGAATGAATGAATGATTGAATGAATGGCTGGATGAATGAATGGATGGATGGATGGATGGATGGATGGATGGATGGATGGATGGATGGATGGATGGATGGATGAACGAACGAATGGATGGATGGGTGGATGGACGGATGAATGAATGAATGGATGGATGAACGAATGAATGAATGGATGGATGGATGAATGAATGACAGCTATACTGTGATTGCACGGGTGGCGGGGGGCGTGGCGCCAGGACCAGCTCCTGAAGGGCAGGGCTGCTTGCACAGTCACGTGACGAGCGCGGCCGGTGCGGGGCAGTGAGCGGCGGCCCTGCGGGGCAGAGCCCCGGCGGCCATTTTGCGGGGCGGTCACGTGGCGCGACGCACGCTCCGCGGGCTGCTCACGTGACCGGGGGCGTGCCGCAGCCGCCGGGGCAGACCCGGCGAGAGGCGGCGGCGAGAGCGGCGGTGATGGACGGGTCCGGGGAGCAGCCCAGAGACGGGGGTGAGGCGGGAGGCAGGCGGGCGGGAGGAGGGCGAGCCCCCCGCCGGCCGGCCCCCCCGATCCCGCCCGCGGATCCCGGGGCGTGCGATCTTCCACGCTCTCCGGCTCGGAAACTCCCGGGTCGGGCGCTGCCAGCCTCCAGCCCCCTCCTTCCCCGAGGTCCCCTGGCTCTCTGGCCTCCGCGCCCCGATCCCTTCCTGCCCGGGGCTCCGGGACCCCCGAGAAGCCGGGGACCCCAGAATTCAAGCCCCCGGGGCAAGCCCGGGCTTGTCGCCGGCGCCACTTCCTGGTGGGAGGGGCGGGTCTCCCCGGGGTCCCCTCGGGCCGGGATGCTTTCAGGGTTCCCCGAGTCTCCCTTCCCGGAAGAGTGTGGGATGCGGGCCCAGGCTCCCCGCCTTTCTCCACCAGGGACCCCGTTGTCCGGGCCACCAATCACTTCACTTTCCAGGGACCCAGGGCCCCCCAGCACTGACCTCCATCAGGGGCCATGAGCCCCCCCAGGGCCCTCAGAACCCATGAGTCCAGGCACCTCTTCCCTCCTCTCTCCTCCAGGGCCCACCAGCTCTGAGCAGATCATGAAGACAGGGGCCCTTTTACTAAAGGGGTGAGTGTGAGGTCGATTATTGTGGAGCGGATTTGAAGCGTGACCCCCGCCCCCCGCCCCCCGTGCTGATGGTGCCCCCTCCTCCGTTCCGCCTCCAGCTTCATCCAGGATCAAGCAGAGCACATGGGGGGAGAGGCGTCCCAGCTGCCCCTCGGGCCCAGGGTGCCCCAGGATGCATCCACCAAGAAGCTCAGCGAGTGCCTCAAGCGCATTGGCGACGAGCTGGACAGTAACATGGAGCTGCAGAGGTGTGGCCCCCGGAACCCAGGAGTCCCAGCTCCCGGCCCCCCCTTCCCTGAGGAGCACTGAGTCCAGGTCCACTGCCCCCCAGTTCCTGCAGACCTGGGGGTCCGGCCCGTCACTCAACTCAGCACTCTGACTCCCAGACCTCCCCTCCCCAAGGATCTTTAAAAAAAAAAGAAAAAAGATTTTTATTGATTTCAGAGAGGAGAGGGAGAGAGAGAAATATCGGTGATGAGATGGAATCATTGATGGGCTGCCCCCTGCATGGCCCATACTGCACAGTGCCTGGACGACCTATGACCTCCTGGTTCATAGGTCGTCGCCCGACCCCTGAGCTGGGCCGGCTGGGCCCATAGGATCCTGAAACCCTCCGTCAGGGGGTCATTTTCATTTCCCCACTGTCCTAAATGTCCATCTGGTCCCTTTCCCCTGCGTTGGCTTCTTGCTTTTCGTTTCAAACTGGCCTTGGGCCTCAGTTTCCTCATCTTTGGTCTATGGGGCGGGTGCCCCAGTTTGCATGCTCCGCCTGGTCCCCTCCGCCACCGGCTCCCCTCTCTCCTGCAGGATGATCGCGGCTGTGGACACAGACTCCCCCCGAGAGGTCTTCTTCCGAGTGGCGTCTGAAATGTTCTCCGACGGCAACTTCAACTGGGGCCGGGTTGTCGCCCTCTTCTACTTTGCCAGCAAACTGGTGCTCAAGGTGGGTGGCTGCAGGGCAGGGAGCCCAGGAAGGCTCCCCTCAAACCCGCGGGGGACCTGGGAGGTGTGGCGTCAACCCCTGTGGCAACCCAGACGGGCCGAAGGAGATAGCTATGAGCCCGCTGTCTGTTCCTTCATTCATGTGTGCATCCAACAGATATTTACTGGGCCTACTATGTGCCATCCTGTACTCTGCACCCAGGATGCGGCACCAAACAAAGCGGGTTAGGTCCCTGCTCTCAAGGCGCTCGCATCGAGCGGCGGGTGCTGAGAGGAGTAAGCGAGGGTGGTGTGGTTTGGGACAAACGGACCAGGAAAGACTTCTCAGGGGAGGTGACATGAAAGCCCAAGTTGGAACGACAAGGAAGGTGCAGTGACATATAAGGATCGGGGGAAAGCATCTGGAGCGGGCACAGCAAGTGCAAAGGCCCTGGGGTAAGACCAGACCTTATGGGTTGAGGAGGCCCTTGTGGTTAGAACCGGGTGAGGAGGGGAAAAGGGTAGGAGATGAGGGCAGGTTTGGAGGGGCCTGACGGGCCACTGTAAAGACTTCAACTTCACTCGGAGTGAGATGGAGTGGTTAGCTGGTTTTATTTTATTATTATTGTTTTAAGTATGTTTTCATTGATTTTAGAGAAAAAGGAAGGGAGAGAGAGAAAGAGAGAGAAACATCGATGTGAGAGAGAAACAGCGATTGGCTGCCTCCTGCACGCAACGGAGGGGTGAGAGCCCGCAACCTGGGCGTGTGCCCTGACCGGGAATCGAACCCGCAACCTTTCAGTGCACAGAGGACGCTCACCCAGCCGAGGCATCCCCGCCAGGGCAATTGGCTGATTGTAAACAGGAGAGTGAGGTGACCTGATTTATACACTTAACATATTATTCCAGCGAGTATAGCAAAATGTTAATTGTAGAATCTAGGTTGCAGGCGTATGGTTGTTCACTGTGGAATTCTTTTAACTTTTCTCTGAAGATTCTCATGTTAAAATATTGGGGGAGGCCCTGGCCGGTTTGGCTCAGTGGATAGAGCGTCAGCCTGTGGACTGAAGGGTCCCGGGTTTGTTTCCTGGTCAGGGCACATGCCCGGGTTGCAGGCTCAATCCCCAGTAGGGGGCGTGCAGGAGGCAGCTGATCAATGATTTTCTCATCATTGATGTTTCTATCTCAATCTCCTTCTTCCTTCCCCTCTGAAATCAATTTAAAAATATATATATTGGGGGAAGGGAAGCTCAACAAATTGTTCTGGCCATTATGAGTAGAAAAAGGGATTATGGGACAGAAGGGCAAAAGCTGAGGAGCTGGGAGGGGGTACCTGTTATAGGTAGTCCCTGCAAACAATGACTGACCTGGACTCAGCTAGTAGCACTAGAGGTGTGGAAATATATATATATATATTTTTATTGATTTCAGAGAGGAAGGGAGAGGGAGAGAGAGAGAGAGAAACATCAATGATGAGAGAGAGTCACTGATTGGCTGCCTCCAGCACAACCCACACTGGGGATCGAGCCTGCAACCTGGGCACGCGCCCTGACCGGGAATCGAACCGTAACCTCCTGCTTCATAGGTCGATGCTCAACCACTGAGCCACGCCGGCCGGGCGAAATAGCCTTGTGTTTTGTTTGGGATATTGAGCTAATGAATGAGGTAGAATGCTGGCGGTGAGGTGAGGGGCCAGCAGTCACGGTGACGGTGGGGTGGGGACCCCAGGAGGGGAGACGCAGCGGACAGCGGGACGCGGGCGTGCAGGGGACTGGAGAGAGGCCGTGTATGGGGCTGTGGAGTCGTCCCTGGCCTGAAGGCCAGGAGAGCCCTCTCTGGGGACGTGACCTAGCCCCGAGCTCGGAGGGACCAGGGAACGTTCCTCTGGGTGAGGCCCATTTAGGCCCGAGTATCAGCAGGAGGCGCTGGTGGGCATGGGGATGGGAAGGGCATGAGGCCCCGGAGAGCGCCACCCACTGGACTGTGTTCCATCAGGGCCTCCCTCAGGCCCCCGGGCCCAGCTCTGCCTCCTGCTCCCCCGGGCGCTGGGAGCCGGGGAGGGGTGTGGGCAGGCAGCCGGCAGGGGCCCGGTCCAGGCGACATGTAGGACGCTGGTTCTGGCCGCGGGGGAAGGAGGCTGCGGGGCTGCAGGAGGAGGCAGAGCCGAGGAAGGGGGACCGGCCTGCCCCTGAGGCCCGCCCACTCCCCCAGGCCCTGTGCACCAAAGTGCCCGAGCTGATCAGGACCATCATGGGCTGGACGCTGGACTTCCTTCGAGAGCGGCTGCTGGGCTGGATCCAGGACCAGGGCGGTTGGGTGAGGCCCCAAACCCCTTCCCTTCCTCCGGAACCCCCCCCAGCCCACCTCAGGGGTGCCCCCGCCCTCCGCATGTTCACCTCATCAGACGTGGCCTGTAAATGCATTTCCTCACGTATCTGATCAACCCTTGGTCCCTCGGGGACCGGATGACCTTTTTGTGACCTTTGACCCGATGACCTCTGACCTCCCGGTGACCCCCTGACCTGCCGCCTACTTTCTGCCCTCCACTTCTTCTGGAATCCTCAAGTTCTGTGATAACCCTTTGACCCCAGCTCTTGAACACCTGCTAGTCTTCCGCCCTTGCCCCCGGCTCCCGCCCTCTGACCTCTTCCTGACCCCCTACCCCCCCCTCCCCCGCCGGAGGCTGCATCGCCGGAGTGACCGATGTCCCTGTCCCCAGGACGGCCTCCTCTCCTACTTCGGGACCCCCACGTGGCAGACCGTGACCATCTTCGTGGCCGGGGTGCTCACCGCCTCCCTCACCATCTGGAAGACGATGGGCTGAGGCCACCGGCCGCCTTGGACTGTGTCTTTTCTGCATAAATTATGGCATTTTTCTGGGAGGGGTGGGGATTGGGGGTCAGGGGCCTTTTTCTTACTTTTGTAATTATTGGGGGTTGGGAGGGGAGGGGTGGTTTCGGGGGGGGCAATAAACCTCTTTCGGGCCACACTCCTGCGTCTGAGTCACTGGGCCCCGCCCCGGCTGTCGGCTGTCGCAAGAGCCCAGGCTCCCCGCGCTGACACATGGCGCGGAGGGTGCCCAGCGCCCTCTGGGGGTCAGGGATGCCCCAGGTCCTGGCCCTGCCCTCCAGGAACCTGCAGTCTTGAGGGGGAATGGAGGTGACTTCCGATCACTTGTGTCACAACGTAGGGTGTTGACCAAGACACAGGAGCGCAGGGCTGCAGGGGGTGGGCGGGCGGAGGGCAGGGTGCAGGGGACCGAGCAGGCCCCCCCGCGCCCGGGAACCTCCACTATATGGCAAGTTGCACATTTACTGAGACGGAGCTGGGGGGGGGGGGGGAGGAGCGAGGTGGGGTGCTGATCGGACCTTGGGAAGACTCGGGGAGCAGGGGGAGCTACTGGAGGCAGGAAAGCTGAGAGGAGGCTAGGATAGGAGGGTCCTAGGGAGCAGACCAGGCCCAAACCTGTGTGGGGGCCACGGCTGGAGACGGGCTCCCCGGGCTGTGGGGGGGAGCGGCTGGAGGAGGAGGTGCTCTGCAGTCTGGCCTGGTAACTGGGTGGGGCGTCCAGAGCGGAGCAGGCCCCGGGGAAGATGGGCTCCTTAAGGCCTGGTGCCTGTAGACACCGAGAGAACGGGGATGAGAGAGGGAGCCCGCTCGGTCACAGGGTCGCGTCCCTTTTCGCCAGGCCCTGTCTCTTTCTAACTGTCCCCCTCTCTGTCCCCTTCTTTCTCTGTCTGTCCCCGTCTCTCTGGGTCTCTGTCCCTCGCTCTGTAGGTCTGTCTTCCTCCATACCCCAGGAGCTCCAACCCCCAGATGTCTGTCTGTCCTCCCGATCATGTGGGTCTCACCCCTTCCTCTCCTGCCTGAGGCTAAAGGTCTGTAGGCTGCTGCGGGAAACCTGGTGAATGTGTAACTCAGGCCCGCGGTGGCAGTGTGCCTGGGGCAGCTCCCCTCCCCTAGGGGCTGTTCCCAGAGTTTCCAAGCCAAGGGAGATCTGTCTGGCAGATAAGATAGCACAGAGGGGAGACTGAGTCACCGTCCAGAGCGGGGACCATACGGCCACAGGCAGCAGCCAGAAGGAAATAACGGGGGAACTAAAAAGGCAGTGAAGTCAGACAAAGCACACTCCAGGCTGCACTTTGGGGGAGGGGGCCAGACTGGGGTCAGAGCCATCAGGCCTGGTTCCCAGGGTCCGGGGGGGGGGGGGGGGGGGGGGCCGGGCAGCTGCTCATGGGAGATGAGGTCAGTCAGTAGCCCGCCCCCGCCCTCCTGCCTGAGCCCCTTCCTGAGCTGAGTTCAGCATGACTCAGCACTGCTGTGCTGGCCACTGGCCCAGACACCCCTGCAGGACCCCAGGCACCAGCCGGGCCCTGCCTCTCCCTGGTCAGGGGCACCCTGCCCCGGCTGCTCGGTGCGGCTCCAGGTAAATAGTGTGAGGGCCTGGCAGCCTCCCCGAGGGCACTTCCACAGGGTCCAGTCCGTCCTGTCCTTTCCCCCCACAACAGGAGGCTCTATCCTGGTCTGGGTCAGCTCCGCCTCCCAGACCCCAGCCTGGACCTGGCACAGTTGAAAAATGTACTTTGGCCGCAGACAGACGTCCCATCCGCAGGCCCCCCTGAATCCAGGGCCTCCCTTTGTGACTTAGAAGGAGCACGTGCCAGGCGAGGCAGGGACAACCTCAGAGAGACTGCTTCAGAGCCAGAGGGCACCCCAGCGTCTCTGGCTGCCCTCCAATCCTCTCCAGGAAATGCAGCCTCAGAGAGACCCCAAAGCTCCCCTGGCGTTTCACCCCACCCCATCGCAGCTCCCAGAAAAACAGTGGGCCTCTGAGAGGGCCCCGAGGCATTCCAAGGGTCCCAGACTCACTCTCAAGGGCTCTCCAAGACCCCCTTAAAAAAAAAACAACAACCCCTAGGTACTGGGCTTCCAAAAACACCCTTCTCCCCCAGTCTTGGGGTGACACCAAGGCTCTAGAACCCCTGCTCTTTTAATCTTGCAGCTCGCCTCTAGGGCCTAAAGACCCCCAGGAAGTTTCCAGAAAAATAGGTCTTCCACTGCGAACATTAAGGCAAAAGATAAATAAAATAAAGTAACCCCACCTTTCAGCGAACCCCGGGGCTCCCCTCCAACCCATCTTGCAGAGAGACCCCCAAGGTTCCAGAAACACCACCTCACTGTCTTCCAAACTTCCCAGTGATCTGGGGAACCCTCAGCTCCCAAAGCAGACCCCAGTAATTTGGAGGCCCCAGGGTTCCAGAAAAGCCTATGCTCCCAGAGAACCCCAGAATCCAACCTACTTTCCTGAGGCACCCCCACAGGATCAATCTCCAGGGCTCCCAGTGTCTCCATTAGTCTGCCTACTAGAGACCCCCAGAATCCCTTGACTACCCCGAATCAGCGCCCCCCCCTTCCAACCCCCCCCTTCAATTCCCCATTTCACAACAACCTCGAGCAACAGGCGCGTGACTTCCCCACCTCCCAGGCGGGGTCTGGGACTCCTATCTGCCCCGGATTGGTCACTGGGGGGCCCCAGGCCCTGCCCACCAGCACCACGGATTGGTCCATTGCCCCCCCTGCCAGGGGCCCCGGGGGCTATAAAAGAAGGCGCCTGGCCGCAGCCCCTCGCAGCGCACTCGGAGCTCCCGGATCTGTCTCTTGCTTCAACAGTGTTTGGACGGAACAGACCCAGGGACGCCCCTTCTTCCAGCCTCCGGCCACTCTCCTGCGTCTCAGCCACTCACCACCTTCAGGACCACCCCCGGGACCAGCCAACAGCGGTTTTGTTTTGGTTTTTTTCTACCTTAAACTCCTTATTGCCGGACAACCATGAGCTCCCAAATTCGCCAGAATTATTCCACCGAGGTGGAGGCCGCGGTCAACCGCCTGGCCAACCTGCATCTGCGGGCCTCCTACACCTACCTCTCTCTGGTAAGGGTCCCCGGGGCACCCCTGGCCCGCGTTCCCCGCCCCTGCGCACCTCGGGCTCTGCGCCCGCGGGGCCCTCTTTGTTCTGCTGGGCGGAGGGCGGAGTCTGCACACCCGGCCTGGCTTCCCGCTAACCACCAGTTCCCGCCATCTCTCCCCGCAGGGCTACTATTTTGACCGCGACGATGTGGCTCTGGAGGGCGTGGGCCACTTCTTCCGCGAGCTGGCCGAGAAGAAGCGCGAGGGCGCGGAGCATCTCCTGAAGCTGCAGAACAAGCGCGGCGGCCGCATTCTCTTCCAGGACGTGCAGGTAGAGAGTGTGTGGGCCCGCGGACTACATCTCCCAGCAGCCCCTGCGCGCCCACGGGGTGCCTGCGCCCCCCGCCGTTTCGACGCTGCGTGGGCTTCTGGGAGATTTTCTGATCCGTGTGGGTTCTTGTTGTGGCTAGAAATGGAGGCGCAGCGTGGTCTTAGGAGCGGGGGTAGGGGGGGGGGGTGTTAGACGTCTCTCAGGCTAGGCCCTTTGCCCCTGCAAATGTTGGGGGATGTAGTTTTTAGTCCTTTGCGGGGTATGTGGCCGATTCTGAGCCTTCTGTCTGGCGCAGAAACCTTCCCAGGATGAGTGGGGCAAAACTCAGGACGCCATGGAAGCCGCCCTGGCCTTGGAGAAGAACCTGAACCAGGCCCTTTTGGATCTGCATGCCCTGGGTTCGACCCGTGTCGACCCTCATGTAAGTACCCCCTTTATCCGCATCTGCCCATCCCAAGACCTTCCCTGGAATGGAGTTTATATTCTAAGCCTTGGCCTCGCTTGGGCCAATTTCCTTGTGAACAAACGTCGTTCCCCCGTCTGTCTGTCGTTCCCCCGTCAGTCGCACTGTTATCTGCAAGTGTCAGCATTGTCTCTTCCTTCTCTCAGCTCTGCGACTTCCTGGAGAACCACTTCCTGGATGAGGAGGTGAAACTCATCAAGAAGATGGGCGACCACCTGACTAACATCCGCAGGCTGGCCGGCCCCCAGGCTGGGCTGGGCGAGTATCTCTTCGAGAGGCTCACCCTCAAGCACGACTAGGAGCCTTTGGAGCCCAGAGGCCTTTCCGAGGCCCCCCCTGCACCCCCTTGGCGTCTCTGGCTTTTACCTGAGCCTCTTCCCGAAACGACTAGCCATTCCTTTAACCACCCCGGAGCCCTCTCCCATGCATTGGACCAAATGAGACAATAAAGCTTTTTGCAACAGTTGGTGGTTTTGTGTGTGTGTGCGCGCGCGCGCCTGCACC